TCCGAGAGGGAGATGCTAATCGATTTTCTGCATTCGACCACCGATGTTTCTGAAGCGTTGCTTGTGTTTGGCGGGAAAATCGGGTGACCAGTGACGAGATTCGTCGTCGTGTGTTGGGTGCTGATAGTCGTATAGTCTAAAAGAAGTAATCGCTCTACACCGTCTCCCGTGGTTTGGTCAGGTTCTGCGTATGTCTACCCATCGGCTACCCTTCCGTGCTCTCTTTGCACATGCTGAACAAAGCTGGAAGAAACTTCGCGGCGGTCGGACCATGATATGGCGTAGAGGAATGAAAAAGCTGGCTGCAACTCTGGCTTCGGTTGGTACAATTCGCCCTCCAGATTTGGGGCCCAAGGGATGAGGATTGTCGTTGGTTAGATACGCTGAGAGATATGACCCAGAATAAAAGTCAGTAGCGCGAATGCTGCATAGTTTGCCTGTTGAAATTCCGCGCCCGATAATAAAACGACATAAGAACACACAACAATATCGGAAAGTGTACGGGGAAACATGAAAAATATTGGTTGTCGTGACTGACATCTACTGTTGTCGATTGTAACTGTTTAAGCTTCTTTGCAATCCACCAATTCCGTGTTTTTATTGTTGTTGTGTCATTGTCCCCGTACTTGTTCGCAATCTGGGGATAAATAAGCATTCTTTTGAAACTAGTAGTTCATAAAAAAAATGAACTTCCAGGCTGCTCTGTTTCGAATACTCTCCGTCTCCGATGTTGAGTCATCTTACCCGAGTAGGTGGAATGACCTAATATCACATGGTCTCAGGTCATTGGGTTGGTTGTTGGTCGGTGCGTTGACGCACATGTGTTCTAGCCGCGACAGTCGATTCCAAAATGTTTCAGTCTTCGACTCAAAGGGGACCTGTGTGCCAAGCAGCCTGCCCATTAGTGATCGGCTGTCAATCGAAATCTCCCAGGTGCCCCCAGAAGATCTCACATTGGTAATACTGCACCCTAGCTGTTTTCCTCTGTCCATCCCATCCTCACAACATATCACTAAATGCGCTAGGTTATCTGGATGCACGTGCGAGCACTATAATTGACAAACAACTTAATGCATGGATAAATATGACTACTCCCGCAAACTGATCATGCATTCCAGAGTGAATGCGATACACTTACTATCGTCCGCATTTGCACCATAACGGTGCTATCGATAAAAATTTGTTATGTTCCGTGCGCAGAAACCTTGCAGAAAGATAAACCCACCACCGATTCATAAAAAAATCCAGCACACACTGCATTGTCACAAATACAACCCAAGATCATTAATAAACCGGATTGAGATATGCCGGAAGTGACCTCATGCATGAAATAGAAACGTAATTATATAGTACAATAAATATACTCGGACGCACCGTGGTCAAAGGACACGTGATTGTATCAACCGAGAGCTTGGTAATAATGTCACTTGGATCATCACTGACTGGAGGGGTCCAAAGCTTCTCTTTTGTATTGGTTTTCGGATCCTGTGAGACAGACCCAAAGAGAAACGAATGAAACGGTAGCATCAAAAAAGCCTAGCCCGAAGAGTGAACACATTATGACACTGAAAAGGTGTTAGTGGAGCAGTATAGGCTATTGCTAGTCCCATGCGGTTCGCCAATACTCTCTCTTCTACTTTCCCGCATGTGGATTCCTCTGCCATTCTTCGAATGACCACAGCCACTAGCCGCAATATGGATCGCATATTTGCCGTAGAATCTCCAAACGGTCTCACATCTAGTGGCTGAATGTGCTAAGCGATGGTTTATGGAAGAGACAAGGTCTTTGTTGAGATTATGTTACTTCTCAAACTCATGGTGAGCGCGGTGAAGCGATTTTTGTATATATTAGCTAGTTATGGCTAGTAGCACGACAAATTCAGTCAAATGGAGGTCAGGTATGCAAAACGTAATCAATTCCTAAGTTCTATAGAAAGCAGAGGGCTGATAAATCCAGGTAAACACCACAGGTGAAAACGAGAATGAAAGACCGCACTTCTCGCAGCAGTAGTAGTAATTGTTAGGATAACACGTTTGATGATTTTCGTCATGTAACTGAAGCGTGAGCTGAAAAGCTAGGAAGCACTGGGCAGTTGTTTTCACCCGTTTGGGTCTCATCAACAGAGTGAAGTCATCGACCAGAACTAAGGATGGAACACGCGACCTCCGAATAGGAATAAGTGGCGTACATACTCCAGTCTGTCTGTTGGAACTCCGTGAACCATAACAACAAAATCTGCTGAAAAGAATTTGGAAAATTGAACGGCAAGATACAAAAATTATCTTTCTCTCGTTACCCTTCTTATCATTTTCACCATGCATGTTATCAGCTGGTGTAATATTCGTTTGCAGCGTGGCTCCTTCAGCCGAGCCTTCTCTCTCCGAACATTGTGGTTTTGATTAGTGTGACCATTCGCTAAAGAGTGGTGGTGGTGGTAGTTGGCTGTGTTATCGACCGAGTCACTATTATATTAAGTCCTTATCATCGTACAGCAGAATACAGTGACGTGAACTTCACTAACAAACTTATAATGCGTGTAAGATAAATATGTATAAGGAGGATATGGATTGGTTCTATTCTGAAGGATAGGGAATGAAAGCGAAAGACTGTGCTCAATATCCAGAGTACATTAAAGTGGATCGCCAATCCAAGTTTCAGGGTTCGGTTGTCTCTATCTCTCTCTGTCTCCATCTCTCACGCTCCATACAAATCAAATGCATAATTTAGTTTCAATTTGAACAACCCTTAGCCACGTATTGTTTATGCCGCTATCACTTGGCTACCCATTTGCATGGAGGAGTAGAGATAAGATTGGAATGTTGAAGGACTGACCACCAACGTTGAATCCCCTCGGTGGTAAGCGCAGACATTTGCCTTTGTCCTATCACCATGCCCGCCGGTCGGACGAATTCGGGCACATTTTCGATAGCCACTAGCGTCAGCTTCTCATACAACTACTCCGGCACACGTTCCTGATATACCTCAACAGACCCACCTTTCGAAGCTGGAGCAGCTTTCGCCAACCTGCGACACTTGTGGTGCGGACAACACATCCTTTTGTCCCTTACAGGAAAGGCGTACATCGCTGCGGTTTGTAGTGTTCTACTTTACGGTTGCGAGACCTGGCTTCTCCGAGAGGGAGATGCTAATCGATTTTCTGCATTCGACCACCGATGTTTCTGAAGCGTTGCTTGTGTTTGGCGGGAAAATCGGGTGACCAGTGACGAGATTCGTCGTCGTGTGTTGGGTGCTGATAGTCGTATAGTCTAAAAGAAGTAATCGCTCTACACCGTCTCCCGTGGTTTGGTCAGGTTCTGCGTATGTCTACCCATCGGCTACCCTTCCGTGCTCTCTTTGCACATGCTGAACAAAGCTGGAAGAAACTTCGCGGCGGTCGGACCATGATATGGCGTAGAGGAATGAAAAAGCTGGCTGCAACTCTGGCTTCGGTTGGTACAATTCGCCCTCCAGATTTGGGGCCCAAGGGATGAGGATTGTCGTTGGTTAGATACGCTGAGAGATATGACCCAGAATAAAAGTCAGTAGCGCGAATGCTGCATAGTTTGCCTGTTGAAATTCCGCGCCCGATAATAAAACGACATAAGAACACACAACAATATCGGAAAGTGTACGGGGAAACATGAAAAATATTGGTTGTCGTGACTGACATCTACTGTTGTCGATTGTAACTGTTTAAGCTTCTTTGCAATCCACCAATTCCGTGTTTTTATTGTTGTTGTGTCATTGTCCCCGTACTTGTTCGCAATCTGGGGATAAATAAGCATTCTTTTGAAACTAGTAGTTCATAAAAAAAATGAACTTCCAGGCTGCTCTGTTTCGAATACTCTCCGTCTCCGATGTTGAGTCATCTTACCCGAGTAGGTGGAATGACCTAATATCACATGGTCTCAGGTCATTGGGTTGGTTGTTGGTCGGTGCGTTGACGCACATGTGTTCTAGCCGCGACAGTCGATTCCAAAATGTTTCAGTCTTCGACTCAAAGGGGACCTGTGTGCCAAGCAGCCTGCCCATTAGTGATCGGCTGTCAATCGAAATCTCCCAGGTGCCCCCAGAAGATCTCACATTGGTAATACTGCACCCTAGCTGTTTTCCTCTGTCCATCCCATCCTCACAACATATCACTAAATGCGCTAGGTTATCTGGATGCAAGTGCGAGCACCATACTTTAGCTAACTACTCCCGCAGATTGATCATGCATTCCAGAGTCAATCCGGTACACTTTATCTCTATCCTCCCCAAGTTCAGTTTTCTTACTTAGTTTGCTCATGTCCATGCGAATGATATTAGTGCCAGATTATGGTCAAGTCAAGTATGGGATTGCTCAAAGTGTTCTTTATCTCGTTTTTTTGCATTAGGTTGATGCGTACAAACATAGGGATCGATTGTATTCGGAATTCAATCGCAAGTCCCTTTCAGATATGATGGAAGCACTACTCGGTTACTTGCTCTCACATTTCGGATTACAAAGTGCCTCTATGCTGTTGCTCGGGAATGTTCCAGAACCACCAATCAACTCGAGAAGTGTCACAATACAAAAAGCGTGGCCTAATCTTTTCAAATCCGAGCACACTTTGTGGGCAATGTATTCACCTGCGGAAACCCCACAGCCATGTCCTAACTCGTCCTGGTCAGCAGTTGAAAAAGTACTGGGTTATAAATTCAATGTTTCCTCAAACTTCATCGCAGCACTGACGCATCGGAGCTTCGTTGCTCAAGACACATCTGAAACCAACAAAATCCATTACGAGCGGTAAGTATATGTGTTCTTTCTTTTCCTTTCGGTTCTTATTTCTGTAGTTACCAATCCATTTTTCGAGTACATCAATATGGAGATCATTCGACTGCTGTGATGGATGTTGATGCGATTAAAGTCAGTCTGTGGTTCCCAAGAGTTTGCGTTATTCTATGTTCCGCTCTTGCTATCACCGTCCAACTTCTGGGATGGACGGGTTTCCTTTTTCCCGATTCAGTACCACATGTGCACTCTCCTATAAAACTTATATAATTCCTCAAGTATGTTTGATCAGTTTATTGGTCTTCATTGTCACTCAGTGAGACCTTGTGAGCATGTTTGTCATCTGGGCCCAATTGACGTCCGGCGGCAAAGGGACACCCAATACGAATTTCCTTAAAGTCAACGTTTTATTATGGGAAATACTTACCAGCGGTTGCTTTTCTAGTCCTGTAGAATTTGGCACAGATGAATCGGCTCACAGTTCATACAAAGTAGATGAATGTCACAATTTGTCCTTTTATCGTGCGCTTCTAGGGATGTTGAAATTTAAGACTTTTCAAAGCTTCGTCCAGTAGACACTCCAAAAAACATAACAGTATACCGATAACGGATCGTAACTTTTAGTCACATTGCTTATAAGGCATCGTCAGACCAAGAGCTGTTCAGTATCGAGAGGAGTAGCGTTTTTGAAATGGGTGATTAGTCAACGAGGCTGGTTGTGAATTCAGACACTATTTGTGGAAATTGGTGAGTACGTGACATGACACTCAGCATGGAACAGAGGAAGCGCATGCGCATTGCCGAATCGGCAATACGGCCGTGGTTTCAAACGGACTCGTTCAAGCTTTCGTTACACCAGTATCTGTGGTACCATTGGTCATCATTCTCTCATCGTCTGATATCCTCTGCTCTCATTGGCCAGGTTTCACAGCGTGTTGAGAGAGAGATGGTAAATGCTGCAGTGAGTATCTTGTATCAGAATTATAAGTTTCAGTTCAATTTGTACAATCGTACACTTTCGTGCGCCTGTTGAGGTTGGTGTCTTTTGGCTGTGCATTCATATGAAGAGGTAGAAAAAGGTTGGGAAACTGGAAGTAGAGTCGAAGAGTAAATGGGCCATTCCGGTGGACTACGTTTGCTAAGATATAACATAGTTTCACTATTTGAAGCTTTTATTGACCTCAATATATGAAAAACGCAGTTGATTCGAAAACAACTTGAGCTGGTTAGCCATTTATAAATCGTGCACACTCAAAGAAAAAAAGGATTACCGCCGACACTATATTTTTGGAGCACCAACTTAAATCGATATCCCCTTAGATGGATATGGGTTACAACTTGAATAGTGGGCTACATGGATGGATTTGCTTTGTCTAGGTGGTGTCAAACTGCCACAACTACCGACAGATATGCACAGATACTTTTTCCTTGATGAGGCCCATCACTGTATTGCGACAACCTGTTGTCTCTCTGACCGTTGGTATAGTACCGTTTTGAATGATTGTGAGAGATACCGTGCTGTGACAGCTGAGTTGTATTTGTAATTTTCTGCGGCAACACATCATCATCCATTTCGTTTAACTTCACGGTCAAACTTTTTCACCGTATCCCCTAGTATAGTGATCAGAATCTAGTGTTTACAAAGAGACAATGATAACCTTTGTAATAAAAAATAGAGAGCTGAGTCTCCCACGACTTGCGTGGTTTCCGGTGAAGATCTTTAGGGAGGATCTTTGATTTGATTTGACTGGGTTTTTTCTTGTACTTATGAACGAATGGACAACAGTTCAATTCTGTCTTACAGTTTTATTCCGTTTTTCTCTTGATCGTTATACAGCCTGGAATTCTTGGGTGACGCAGTGCTGGATTTCGTGATCACTTCACATATTTACACAACAAATAGTGATTTCAATCCCGGTTAGTTTATTCCTATTTTCTCGGTCAATTTTCACATCTTTGTACTCTGCTGCTCTCTTCATGCTTTTTTTAATCTGGTAAATGGCCCATGCTCAGTGTCACACTTTCTTAGTCTGCAACAAAACAATATTTCTGTGTTTAGTGGTTCGAATTATTCGAATAAAAGGTAAAATCAATCAGGCGTGACTGACGATGAAAGAAATGGGATTATTCACATGGGACGGAAAATGCTATTCGTGAAGCGTTTTCTGACCCGTATCTCCAAGCTGGATAAAGTCTTGCTCTTGACTCCAGAAACACTCGAAACGATATCACACTCAAACCATTCCCCGCGACCTTTTACAGTCTTCACACACAATTTACATCAGCGTATTTCGTTCAAGAAACAAGGCAACGAGGTGAACCTGGTCTGGGTGGCCGCGTCATCTCGTTTCGGGGTGAGGAGTCCGTTTCAATCTACGCAGTTCACTGCAGGAGATCATTGATGAATTTCTCCGTGTCGTCCACGATTTCCATCGCAGCGCTGTAGTCACATTCTGTGAAGAAATGCTCGTTTTCCAGAACGTTGCCATGAATGTGCACTAATACTTCGTGCTTTGAACAATCTATGGGTAAGTTGTTCTCAAAAGCAAATTACCCCGTGTATCGATCCTTTCATGCTCTTGATCGATATAGACGGAGCCAGTCGGTTGTAATCGTCGCATTTTTCGTCAATGTTCCGTCTGAAGATGGATTTTATTTTCTTGTTATTTTACTCCTAATGGCTTGAAGAATTCGTATCACGGTTTCATTGCTTTTTTAATCTCTCACGGAAGCCTGTTGTATGCAGTGAGTTTGTCTGTCTGTTTGTCATGAATTTAAGCGATTTATAGAAAACCGGTGTTTGAAACAAAGCAACTAATGTGAGTCACAGCTACGCACGAATCACAGTTAGTGGAACAAGTGAATTAAATATTGCCTCCAGTTGTTTCGTTCTTTGACGAACGAATACGGTTTCCGCATACAACAGTTCTCACTGGAATGAGCCGTACTCATCCCACCAGAGTTTCTTTTCAAATATGAAATACTTACAATCTTTTGGATGCGGAGAGGTCTGTACTCCAACAAGAAGCGATAATCACACTGATTCACGAATCATCCATAGACATTGCGATATCCTATGCTGCGCGGATTGGGACAAACACTGGTTTTCTCTCGCGCTGTCGTGAAAGAGGGAGGGGGAGGTGGAGGAGTTTCGCCCAGTACAGGTTTTATGCAACTAAATCGTTTTGGCTCGACGGCTAGCTTAAAATTCGCATTATTTTGATGTGATTTTCTCTTTCACGTCATTCGTTTATTTCCGACGGCAGTCCACAATGATAAACGTGTATTATGTAACACAGCTCTACTTGTCTCCAATGTATTGGTGTATTACAGCATTTTCAGGCTACTAGCATCTGATTTATGTGAAATAATGTTCCTTCTTATTTGTATTTGCGCTTTGGAGATGATCAAGAACGACCGTTTTATACTTAACATGTTGCCACGCCGAGCGGTGTTGCCCCGGTGGTAACTTAACCAAATTATCAGCCTGGTTAACCTGTGTTCGAATCTCACCATCAACACCACCACCTGATTTTGCCCACTATGTTGTATGTCAGCCACCTGATTGACCGCTTCCCCATTCCTGCAATTGGTATCTTCATGTATTCCATAAAAAGAAGTAAAAATGAAGCAGAAAACAACGAAATGAAATGTTACAAATCTTCCGAATACCTACCCGTACGATTTTTGGCGCGAAGTCATTATATATCTATACTATCATTACTCTATATTAGTCAAATCAAGTTAAGCGTTGTTTACGAAATTTTGTTTTTACGTTGCATCTAGCCCTTTTTCAAGACAAACGAAACTTGCTTCTCAGTTGAAGAATGAACCTGGTAAAAGCGTTGACTGTTGCTGCCCGATGCGTTTATGGAAACAAATGTAGAAAAACGCCTTCTTTGGTTCACACGCCCGCTAAAAAAACACGATCGAAAAATAGTTCTCGCGACTCACGGTAAACATTTCTATGAAGCAATTAAGTAATCGTATTGGGTCCGCGTTCCCGGGTATGAATGAATTGCAAACAGATCTCGAATAAAGTTGTGTTTAGTGGGTCTGAGCGTTGTTAGCCAACTGTGCATTGGCTTGGACGTGATAATCACGCACTCATCTTATCACAGAATCATTGAGGATAAGCAACACACGGCTCACTAGTGTTTGATCCCAGCAACAATACTCTGTTTAGCTTTTATCTGTTTCAGCGAATTTAAAAGGACAGTTCCTAAATTTTATTCTAGTACAAATCGGAATGGGAAGTGTCTAACGTGAATATGCATTTACTGTGACACTTCAGTTTCACTTTGAACAACCATTAACCACGCATATTCGAGTGCCGGTTTTGGTTGCTGTCTTTTGGCTGCCCATTTGGATGAAGAATAGGAAGAAAAGAAGACGAAGAAAGGATAGTTGAAAGTGGAGTCGAAAAGAAAATGGAGAAGTTCAGTGGTCTAAGGTTGCAAAGAAATTGAGGAGATGCACAAACGCCACTGTTTACGACACCCAGCCATATCGCTCAGTGTCTTTAACCGTCGGTTACGATCATCCCGAGGTCCCCAGCCAGGGAGCCTAACGGGGTCTATGTGATCTAGTCTCCT